CCTTCAGGGAAAACCATGAAAATCAAACTGGAATAAAAATGGCATAGTTTGTAATGCAGATATGCAATGAGCCTCCTTTCTTCATCTGCATAATACAGATTAACCATTTCATAGGATTAAGAGTGTATTTTAGTTTGAATACAAAAAGCCCACAGCAACTAGCAACGATGAAACACTAGAAAAAGGTGCAGAGCTACATGCAAATCTTCCATCTCTGGGAACCTAAGGCTGCAAACCTGTACACACTGAGTAGAAGTCTCATTCAATCCTCTGGGGATTGCTTCTGAGCAGACATGTCCCTTGTGCCTGCTCTGGACTGTACCACTTCAAAAGGCTGATGACAGAACGTTTTTCCATGCTTGAGGGGAAAAGTTCTAGCATAGCCGGTTTCTTCATATGCTTGTCTGCGGCATGAAAGTAGGAGCATGTGATCCCTTGTGAACTCACACACACAGTTGGAGGTTATATAATGCAGGCAACCTCTGGCACCCCTAAGCCTAAACTGTAGCAGTCAGAGAGATGCTTGCCATACCAAAAAGAATACTGACAGTTGTATACGGAATGTATCTTACCAACATTTCAGTTTCAATGTCGAACACTTCCTCTTTGTGCCTTCTATTCCTGGCTGTGCTGTTAATCTTTCTCCTGTGTTGACATGGAATAATTAGAGTGGCTGTGGGCCCTCAGTATGGCTTGGCCCCATTTCTGCTGGTTCTGGCACTCGGCGAGTGGGCTCTCCCATCCAAGCGCTCCAGAAACAGGTGGGGAGCCCAGAAGAGGCAGGGCTTGAGTTCCAACAACAAACAAGCACCAGTGGGGGCAAAGTCAGGTGCAAGGGCAAAGTTCGGTTGCATTTACATTATTTGTAAGTGTATCCTAAGCTGCATGATAGATAAAAGGAAGTAATTCTTTATACAGCATATAGTTAAATTATGGAATTCACTGCCGCACAAATGGTGGCCACCAGTTGAAACAGCTTTGAATGGGGATTGGGCAGATTCATGGAGGAAAAGTCTATCCATGGCTATTAGTCTTTATGGCTATGGACTACCTCTGGTCTTAGAGGCAATATGCTTGTGTACACCAGTTGCTGGGGAAAAGTTGTGCTCATATCCTGTGTATTCTGTGGGTAGCAGACTTGGGCCACTGCATGAAGAGAATCCTGGGGTAAATGGATCGCTGGTCTGATCCAGCAGAGCTGTTATGTTTGTATGCTTTACAAAGGTTTTTTGCCTGGAAAATAAGGGCATATACTCCTACATTGTAAATGTGGCCAGTAAATAATATTTGACCCCCCCCTCATTTTTCCCATGTGCCTTTGCTTGTTTTCTTATGAAACATGGAACATTGGATGATGAAATACTTTCTTTAGGGATGGGGAGTAAGGTATTTAAGACAAAACATTCTATATTGCTATCCGGTCTTTACTGCCCCCAAATGGTTTCTAAATGGTACGTAAAAGGAAAATGAAGACTGGAAATGCAACATTACTTGCAGTTTTGAAGCCGTGAAGGAAAAATGGGTTCTGAATCTTTCCTGTAAAATTTCTGACATTTTTTCCCCTACCAGCCCTTATTAAAATCATTGTTCCAATGTATCTTGTATTGATAGGGATTTAGGAAGGCTCAATCCTACTCAGTTTCCCAATATGTGACTAGAGATACCCTATTGTAGCATATGAAGAAAACATGTGTTCTTGATCATTAAGGTTCTTCTCTAGAGAGTCCCGTGTTGTGGGGCCTGTTCTGTTTGATGCTGTAGCAGTCAGCAAATGTAGTTTTAAAAATTAAGTGAGAGAAACACTTCGGGTTATCATGTCACTGCCCCCACAAAGGATGGAACAGTGTGTGAATGATCCCACTTACATGTCTTTCTTTGGCACTCACAGCCAGTTTTCAATACATGCCCCAATTTGAACTCATTGTTAGGGAATGCTACCTCCACTTTAAAATGCATATCCACTGCCACCAAAATGAATTCCCTGTATCAAAAACAAAAAACAAAAACCCCTCAGTAGTCTGGCTCCTATTGACACTGCCATTGGAAACCACCTTTCAGGATGAACAATTAAGGGCAAAAGTCCTGTTGACTGCTCTCTTGACACATGTTAGCCCAAAGCTCAGATGCTTGTGAGCATCCAGGGCAGAGCAGTGGAGCAATTCCTACCTCCCTGCTCCTCCTGCTCAGCATTTGAGCAAGACAGGCATTTTGGTTGTCAGGCTGAGCTGCTTCAGTGGAGGTGGGTGGGATGGGGGAAGGATGCTGGGGCATTGTGCAGTTACTTTGTATCCCAGCAGTGCCAATCTTCTCCTACCACCTGTAATATCCCCTATAAACCTGTGCTCCAAATTTAATTCCTCAGCCTTGGAGAGGCAGCCAGTGCAGTTCTTTCTTTGCAAGGTGGTAGGAAACATAGAAACAGTGAGTCAGAAGGGGTCTTCCGGGCCATCTAGTCTGACCCCCAGCTCCAGCCAGCTCTGCTCATGACATGCCTACTATGTCCATGTCCAGCCTATCCTTGAACACCCTCACTGATGGGGCTTCAACCACCTCCTGTGGAAGCCCATTCCGTACCCTCGGGATCCTCTCAGGAAGTACTTCCTGGCATCCAAATTGAACCTTGGTTTCTTGAGCTTGGCTCCATTGGAGCGTCCTGCCTTCCTTTACAGTGGAGAACAGGTCTCTACCCACCTGTGTGTGACACCTGCTCACATATTCTATGTTGCCAACAGATCCCCTCAGAGTCTCCTCTTCTCCAGGCTGAAAATACACCGTTCCCTCAATTTCACTTCATATGGCTTTCCCTGCAATCCGGCCACCATCCTTGTGGCCCTACGCTGCACCAATTCCAACCTGGCTATATCCTTTCCGTAATGTGGAGCCCAGAAATGAACACCATACTCCAGTTGCGGGTGCACCAGAGTTGCACAGAGTGGCAATATCATCTCTCTCAATCTAGAAGCCATGCTTCTGGCTATGCAACCAAGGGAGGGGGATTGGAGTGTGAATTCCTAGCTCTGAGTTCAGGGCTGTTTCTGACTTCATAACTGGGAATATGAGTTATCCTATCCCCACTCCCCCATCCCTGAATATGACTACAGACTGCAGGATTTTCAAGATGCTTGTTAAGAGGTTTATTTACCAAAGGGAATAAAGCACCGTTTTATTGTTTAAAGTTTCTTAAATAAGTTTTCATAGTCTTAATAGACAAGAGACTCTTCCTCAGCTAAGTGAGCTCTCAACAGTTTTTCCTTCAGACCAGATTTCCCTAAACTCCACCCCAGGCAGTTCTTCGCAAGCAGGACAAGAAGCTTCACAACATCTTTCCTCTGTCTCCTGGTCTTCCTGTTTCTTCTGACTTCTAAGATGACTGCAATGCTTCAGGGACTATCTGTTGCATTCCCTCTCATCAGATATAAGAAAATGTATTATGTTTAACTTGGTTTGCTCATAGCATTATCAGGCTTGGTATATTAAATAGCTAAGCATTGTTTATTGAGAAAATTTTAACAAATTTACTGAGTTCATTTTAAAATGCTTTCAATTTTAATTAGGATTTTACCAGCAAATCCAAGTTTCTGCCAGTGGAAGGAAATGTCCTGTATAACAGGACTTCTGTGTCCTCGGACTGACCAGCTGCCAGTGGGTCTTCCAAACCTCCAAAACACATTCGGAGGGTGCATGGGACTGCAATGCAGAGGAGTGGACACCAAAAGAGCCCTTCCGCAAACAGTGTTCTTCTGCTGGCAAAATGATCTGGAGGCAGCTGTTCCCAAAGTAACAAAGTGATATTTGTAAAAAGTACAGAAGAAAGCATCACATCCTTTTTAATACCTTCCAGATTTCTGGGTTTTTTTTCAACCTCCCACCAAAAAAAATCCCCCCCCCCCATTCCAGGCATTTTACACCTCTGGTTCTGAGTCCTGGGCTTTACAGGACTCCTTACAGTTCATGGATTATTTGATCAGGGAGCTGAACATGCTCATAGTTCAGTTTACCTAGTCTGCAGTAGGAAACAGAAGCTGGTGGAACTGGCATAAGATATAGGGGTCTGGCTGCCAGGAGTCCTACTTCAAGAGATGCATGTTCACACTTCAGATTGGCCAAAAGCCAAGGAGGATGGAGCTCCTCTGCTTTTAAGAGAATTTTCAGTAGGTGAGTATTTTGTCCCCTTGAGAGACGTGTTGCTAATACCATGGTTCCCTGCCTCATCTTTTAAACTTACAGGAGCCCTACCTTCCTTTGCTTTTGAGCACCTGACTCTTTAGTTCTTACTGCAGACATCCTTGCCTTTTCTTGGTGGTTTTGTGGCTCCGTGGTATGATGGCTGCATTTAATGGCAGTTTCTGTATCACAGGAACAGCTCTCACTTCAAATGGCCCTCATGGCAATCCACACTTCCCCATCATTCCCAGAGGAAGCCAGTTCAATCTCATCTAGCTGGGGAGGTGCTTGAAACAGCACTCCCAGCTGCAAGCTGTACCACAGAAGAAAACAACAGGGTATCTAAACATGTAAGAAATTCTGTCAATAAAGTCCTGCAAAGCATCCTTGTCAGGGAGTGGGACCCATTTGTCATTGGAAACACACAAGGGCCCATTTTCTTAGGTGTTCCCCAGACAGAGTCACATGACCTGGAGTGCCCCAGTCTCCAGCCCTTGCCTCCTTCATGGTGTTCACATCCTGAGGGCACGTGTCTTGAATCTCCTCCCACATTTCTTGAGAAGGTAATTTGAGTAGAATTGACCAGAATGAACAGGATGAATGAAAACCGAGCGGCATGAATATGTACCAAACCTCATGTAATTTTTAGTGTGTAAGAAAATCATCTTCTCCAAGAGGTGTCTTTGCCTAAGGGGACAGGGAGAAATGGACTGGGATTGAGGGGTATTAGCTGAATTGATTCTTGGCGTTGTCTGCTGTCTTGCATGCCCCTCCCCCTGGGTCCAAAACGGCACATATCTGGCTTTTAAAATCCTTCATCCTCTCTTTCCCTTTAGGAAGCAGAACTCGGGAAGGCGTTGTGCAAGGTGTGGCCTCAGGTACTGGCTTTTGGTTGCATTCCTCTCCCCGTGGGCTGGCTTTGTCTGATCAGTGAGTAGGTGGCTAAAGAGATCACAGGTTAGTAGGACAGTGATGTCACTAAAACCTCTTATATAACTGCACCCAGGACAAAGCCTTCCAGCTGCTTCTCCTGCATCTGCAGAGTCAGCTGAAGGGATTGGCTAAGATGCAGCCCCAGCTTTTGGGAGGCAGCCATAAGAACCTGAAAAGTTTGGTGCAATTGAGCTAGCAAAATATCAGGGTGAGGAAAGGAATTGGTTTTCCTAAATGCATGGTGACTAGATGGAGAGTGAAGCCCCAGGAAAGGGTGACTGCATGAAATACAAAGGTAAATAGCAGAAGAAGCTTATCTGATCAGTCTTCCCGCTACAATAGCCACTAGTCGCTGCAGCCTTCCAGACCCTTTACTCCTCAAGAGTAAGGCCACATAGTGTTAAGCCAGTATAAAGAGCTAACTGAATGGCTTCATATACTGTTGGTTTCCTTCTTCTGGCATTCATAGTTGCTGAAAAGACAAAGGAACAGGCATCCCAACTGGGTGGTGCTGTCTTTTCTGGGGCTGGCAATATCGCAGCTGCTACAGGCCTGGTCAAGAAAGAAGAATTTCCCACTGACCTGAAGGTAAGCAACTCACACTCTTCAGGGGACCCCAAGAGCTCTTAAGAAATGGACTGTAACCTCTGGTAACAGAAATCTTGAAACAAAAGGAAGGGCAGCTATCCTCAGGTTCTGCTAAGAAATGAGAACAAGTGGGATCTGGGATGGGTGAAGATCCTACTGGCCTAGATTCATCACGCAGAACCGAATCTTGGCCGCAGTACTGGGGGCAGGTGTACCCTGCCTGCTTGTGGCAGAGTACAAGTGCATCAGGGTGCCCAATGAAGGAGAAAAGAGCAGGAAGTGACAGGGACATGAGCATGCCATGTTTCCAGTCACTCTGACATCTGTCAAATTAAGAGCACAGCATGGGCAGGAACAGGCATGTCTGTGCCCAAGAACAGGCATTCATGCATGAACATGTGTATGCCATGTGACTCACAGCAACGTGTGATTTCCATTTGCCATGTGGGTGCACAGCTCCAGGCCAGTAACGATTATGCACATTCAAAAAGTGTCTTTAAGAATGTAAGAGCCCTCAGACCAAAGGTCCATCTAGTCCAGCATCCTTTTCACCCAGTGGCCAACCAGCCAGTCTTGGCATTCGTTTATGCTGGCTTCAGACATGAGGAGTGTGTCTTCATGTGCTTCATCGTAGAGGTGGCGGGGGAAGCATGTGTACATTGCTGCTGGCGTGTGCTCAGAAGCATGCCTACATGCACGTTTGTCAGTGAATGTGTTTTGCACAGTTGGGTGGGTGGGCGAGTGGGCAGGCAGCATGCATGGAATTGGTCTGGCAGCTGCAGGGCTGGTCGATCTGAGGAAGGGCTCTTGAATCTTGCAGCCAAGCTGCCACCGAGCCGTTTGCTTCCAGCTTAGCTTAAAATAGCAACAGCTGAAGACAAAACGAGGCCAGCGCAGCCGGGCAGGAGCAGGCGCTCTGTTCTACTCAGCATGGGGGAAGGGTTCTCTGCAGTACCATCTCACTTCTCTCCTGCCTTTGGAAGCTTCTGTTCTGGGATGGGAAGGGGAGTGGAGGCTGTGTGCCAATCATAAGTTTCCCTTCTGCAAGCTGAGGAGGAGTCCCATCTCCTTGGTGCCTTCAGTGGCAAAGAAGCCAAGAGTTCTAGATCCACTAGCCACAGGCTCAGGGAACATTTGCAATGGAACTGGAAACAGGGAAATAAAACAGTGGAGTATGTAAGACCTTCCTGAGAAATCAAAACATGTGTAATCCAACCAACAGACAGATCAGCCCCCCACCCATCCCCCAAAAGCTGCACTTGAGATCAGGGCTTACAACTAAGGTTTACGCCACCCCTCTAGCACTTAGGAGACTCTCCACTATTATGAACCATGTATATCCAGGCTTTGCTTCAGTAGAGGCACTACCACCACTCCATCTGTCATATTCCCATGGCTGTGAGCTTTACAAATGCAGACACAGTAGGCAGGGCTGAGAGCAAGGCATCATAGGGGAGGTCTGTGAGGAAAGAATCTGTAGGATCACAGCACAGGAGTCACTGAATATTTAAAATGGTGCTTTTTTATTCATAAGCAGAAAAGCAGGGTTTACAAGAGGGAAAGCAAGGATCAAGAGATCAAACTTCATACTCAAGAGAAATAAGGAAACACACTATAATCCCTAGCTTCACTTATGTGAATCCTAGGGTATTTAAAGGATGCCACAGTTGGAAATGTATAATACAAGCAGGCTTCGATCAGCCCCCGCCCCGCAACACCAACCACCTTCCTTCTCTCAGGCTAAGCCCCTATCTCTAGCTGACAAATCCTAACTGTTAGTGAGGCTTGTCTTCCCACTCCCTTCCCTAATTCCCTCATGAAGGAGGGGCCTCCCTCTTGACAGACAGCTCCTTGGGTCCAGCTGCAAGGTTTTTTTAGCATCCATAAAGGCTTTTTTAAACCTGAGGGCTCCTTTTCTAGGTGATTACTTTGTTCTGTAACTAGAGTAGAAAAACAAATCTGAAATACAGAAAAATAGTGACTCAAACAGATCTTATCCCCAAGACTGCTCTAAGGAATGGGGCCTACTTTAGCATAGCATTTTCTGTCAGAGGCAATTCCCCTGGTTGGTCTTTAAAAGTAGCTTGCCCAGCCCTTCACGAATGAGGCTGGTCCTTTTGCTGAGACATTCCAGCAAAGCCCCAGCAAACGTATGGCAGAAAAAGGCATACTGGGGCCTAAACCTGCCTGGGAGTTTGCCTGCTTGTCTCCCTCCAACTATGCAAAAGTATGTAACAGGTTTTTATAGGCCACAGGAGTCTGGGAGAAACAGAAGCCTCAGTGGGCCCGTGCAGGTTGCCAAACTGAATCCTTGTACAGGAAGAGGAAGAATGTTGGATTACTCTTGGGAATTATCAACACCAGTTGCCAGATGATAGTTCAAGTATGATAAAAGGAGGAGGTGGCAGATTCAACCTAAATGTCAGTAAAGCTATAGGGTAGCTATTAGCAAGGACCAACTCCTGTCCTCTTCCTAGTACTTGGCCACTTGCCTGCCCTGAGGCAAAAGACGGTGGCTGCATAACTGCATATCACTGCCTTTCAGGACAGCAGTGGAGCCCTGGCTCTCCTTCACTTAGTGGCCCTCTAGTATAACTGATGGTACATCATCCTCTCACCCCACCCATTCCTCTGTTGCTTGGTGCTCAGTGCTATCAATGACCTGCTCCTTTTGTTGTTAAATATATTCCAAAATAGGACTTGGTAAGGGATGTATAATATACCCACCTTCCACAAGTTTTATAGATTCCTGCAGCGCCCAAGGATAGCTGGTTATGGCTGTGGGGGTGCTTTCAGAGGGATGTGTCGGAATGGTGCTGTCAGCAATGAGCAATCTCTATTTCTGTCTTGGACAGCCTGAGGAAGTTGGTCAGGAAGCTGTGGAGGAGCCACTGATAGAGCCACTGTTGGAACCTGAGGGTGAGAACTATGAAGAGCCACCACAGGTGAGTGGAGTTGTTAGAACAATCTGAAGAGGAAATGGGGGTTGGGGAATACCAGGAAATAAAAGTACATTAACCCTTCATCAGTTCCCCTGAGGAAAAGAATCACACGTCCCATCAACTGCTGATCCAGGGCATGTGTGGCATGTATTAGGAGAGCATTTGCAAACAGTAGATGGGGAAGAGCCAGATTTTAAGTGGTGGACAGGTGTTCTGCATGCATGAGATCCCAGATTAAATCCCTCACATCTCTCGGTAGCTGAGGTTGGGAAAGATTCCTTCCTGAAACCCCAGAAAGCCTTCATCTATCACTGTAGACAGTACTGAGGGGGATGGACCAATGGCCTGAGTACAGATCTGTTTCCTACATTCTTAGACAAGATTCAGGTCAGGACACAGGGAAGATATATACTGAGAGGCCTTACTGTGGAATTTAGGAATAAGGAAGCTCTCAGTATGTTCACACAGGAGAGCAGAGTGGCTGCATCCCCAGAAGTTGGGCTACTCTTTGCTAGGATATATACTGAACAGCCTAAAGATAAGGTCAAATGTGGGAGCTTGCAAGTACCCAATTGTGAGAGAACTTTCAAGTGTGGTGGTTGATTAAGAAAAACAGGAAAGAGTGGATAGTAAAGACAATAGAATGCATTCAGGAGCTCTGTCTCAGATAAGTTTGTCCATATGTCCTCCACCTGGCCATTGTTCAACTCCAGTGCTGGATTGTCTTGCCCCATACAGTTCTTTAATCTCATAAAAGTCTCTTTCTTTTCAGGAGGAATATCAGGAATATGAGCCGGAAGCATAATGGCCATCCTTGTTCCTACACTTCCACCAGCAGCACAATAACAATAATGACCCTCCCCTTCCCACTTCTTATCCAGCTCTCCAAAGGAAGGCCGTGATGCAGATGGCAGTGGAGAGGACTTCCCATACCCCATTTGTCATGAGTTCTTCCTTCAGTTCTGCTCCAAGGGACCTCATCAGGATCTGTGTTTTATGTATCGTGGTCTTTAGCGTTAAGAGAAACAAAGAATTCTGAAGACAAACCCTGACCGCAGGGGTTTGTGTATGTGCGTGCATTTATGAGCCCAGTCTTACTGCCCTGTCTCCCTCCCAGCGCAGTAAGGCTAGGCTTCCCTGTGTTTGTAAGAAGCATGTTGTACCTTCTCCGTTTTTAAGCAGCGCTTTCCACCACCTCGGCTGGGACCCTGCACTAGGCCTGCTGTACATTTGCTTGCACGTGAATCACGCCAACTCCATTACCATTGGTGGAACTTTTTTTTATATCTCTGAATGGATTGTTTACGCCTTTGTGACCTCTCCCTTTCCTGACCCCTCTGATCTTGTAACAGAGACTCCCTGATTTTGACAGTGCAGAAGCTGTATCAGTGTATCCCAAACAAAAGGAGTATCCTCCCTTTCCTGTCCCTGGCGCTCTGTGTTGTGACTGTGGCATGGATATATACCTCCCACTGTCGCTGTGTGTGCAATCCTGGGACAGCTGCCAGTGACACAGCTGCCCCAGAGTCCATGAATAAAGCCAACTCTTGTCTGTAGTTGCTTGTCTGCTTCCACATTGTTCACAAGTCGGAGGAGAGCAGTTACCTTGCTTTGTGCTGTGAATAAGATGGCTTTTATGGGCCAGGTGTGCTGCAGCTTTCAGAAGCCTGAGAAAGTACAATGGGTACTTCCTAGTGGCAGCAAATGGTATTGCTTCTAGCAATACCAGCAAAGCTTTCTTGACCTAAAATACGAGTAAGCAAAGCAAAACAGAAGACTCTCGTTTGCACCCTCTTCTCATCCTTAGTAAGTTGAGGGGCCTTAGGAAAGGGCTGAAAATGTAACAGCCAGTATTCAATGCCCTTTTATTAAACTATAGTTGAAGTTGCTGTTGAAGTAACAATCTGTCATGTAGGAAAGTTGCGACTGCATAACTATATTTGGAAAGTTGGGACCACCACATTCCATTTCCACTGTACAGCTGGAAAAAGTGTTGAAAGAGGTGACCAAAATGTTCACTGGTGTTAAGCACCTTCCCCATGAGGAAATACTGTAACATTTACAGTTTGAGTCTTTTTAGAAAAATGTTGAATATAGAGAAGAAGGACTCCTGATTTATTTTGATAAACTTATATATAGTATGAGAAAAGTAGCTTCCTCACTCTTCCATAAAAATTAGTACCCTTGTTCTTTCAATGAAGCTGATTGGCAGGAGGTTCAGAACAGGCAAAAGTAAGTAGAGCATCATAGCACATATAGCTTGCTTTTGGAATATGCTGCCATAAGAGTTGTTAACATCTACTTTTTAGATGGATTTTAAAAGAGATTCACAGATAAGAAATCTTTCAATGATTACAACTCATAAGGGCTATATTCTACCTCCAAATTAGTAGTTGCTGGGGAACCTTTGTGGGAGATTGCTAGTGCCCTTGCTTCTTCCTTGTGGGATTTTGAGAGGCACCCTTTGACCACTGTGGGAAACTGAACACTGGACTACATAGGCCATTAATCTGATCTAACAGAACTCTCCTAAGTTATTAAGCTGTACCTGCCAAAATTTGCGCTCCTACATACCACCAAAGATGCAGGAGCCAGTTCCTTCTTTACATTTGGTTCCCTAAAACCCTCGGCTAAATCTTCATAGTCTTCTGAGACAGTTATTTCCACATATTAACATGGATCAATTTATTTCTACCCTGTATATACCAGCTGGGCTGTTAGTGGAGTCTTGTGCAGTTCCTCATGAGTCATACCAATATTGTACATGTGGCAGATTGTAGCGGGTGGGGGGAGACAGCATGTACAAATCTTGCAGAGCAAGGTATTAAAAGTGCACTTCTCTGTACATTTAAAAAAAGGCAAAAAGCCCACTCAAAAGCTGTTCTGCAGGAAGCCTGCACCACAAGGAAGATATTCTGGGTCCTGCACTTTTGAAAACAGGAGGTACTTTTCTGATTAAATCCCTTTTAAGTATAAGTCCTATTCAGTGGCTACTTATCCCTGATAAATGTCCAGCTATTATCACGATTGCTACTACAAGAAACATTAGAACATGCATCACAGCAGTCAATGTTCTCATTATTTTGTTCAATCATATATAGCTAATCATGTGTGCACTCAGCTATTTAAAATGGCCTGCCCTTAAGAAAAACACCCTTACCAACCTTGTCCCAGTGTTCTGTATTATCAGCAGGTCTTCTGCAATAACATTTCACATGCTCCTGGCTCTATAGTAGTCTACATTTTTCTCCAGCTTTTTTTTTCAAATGTTGAAATAAACAACTCAGGCCTGGCTTTCCCTCATGCTATTGCAACTGTTATTTTAATATGCTGTATTTGTACATAGCTACTAACTCTGAACTTTGCAGCCTGACAGACTGATTATGTCTTGCTTGTTTTGTAAGGGCTTTACAAAGGCTCTATTTTGTGCCCTTCTCACAGGCAGAGTATGTGACAGAAAGAGGCAAATTACTGCCACAGACAAACACATTTCCAAAATGGGGCTCTCTCAATCATATACAGTATATCACAGAAGTGAGTACATCCCTCACATTTTGTAAATATTTTATTGTATCTTTTCATGTGACAACCCTGAAGAAATGACACTTTGCTACAATGTAAAGTAGTGAGTATACAGCTTGTATAACAGTGTAAATCTGCTGTCCCCTCAAAATAACTCAACACACAGCCATTAATGTCTAAACTGCTGGCAACAAAAGTGAGTACACCCCTAAGTGAAATTGTCCAAATTGAGCCCAAAGATTCAATATTTTGTGTGGCCACCATTATTTTCCAGTACTGCCTTAACCCTCTTGGGCATGGAGTTCACCAGAGCGTCACAGGTTGCCACTGGAGTCCTCTTCCACTCCTCCAGGACCACATCACAGAGCTGGTGGATGTTAGAGACCTTGCGCTCCTCCACCTTCCGTTTCAGGATGCCCCACAGATGCTCGATAGGGTTTAGGTCTGGAGACATGCTTGGCCAGTCCATCACCTTTACCCTCAGCTTCTTTAGCAAGGCAGTGGTCGTCTCGGAGGTGTGTTTGGGGTTGTTATCATGTTGGAATACTGCCCTGCGGCCCAGTCTCCGAAGGGAGGGGATCATGCTCTGCTTCAGTATGTCATGGCACATGTTGGCATTCATGGTTCCCTCAATGAACTGGGCTCCCCAGTGCCGGCAGCACTCATGCAGCCCCAGACCATGGCACTCCCACCACCATGCTTGACTGTAGGCAAGACACACTTGTCTTTGTACTCCTCACCTGGTTGTCGCCACACACGCTTGACACCATCTGAACCTAATAAGTTTATCTTGGTCTCATCAGACCACAGGACATGGTTCCACTAATCCATGTCCTTAGTCTGCTTGTCTTCAGCAAACTGTTTGCAGGCTTTCTTGTGCATCACCTTTAGAAGAGGCTTCCTTCTGGGATGACAGCCCTGCAGACCAATTTGATGCAGTGTGCAGTGTATGGTCTGAGCATTGAAAGACTGATACACCACCCCTTCAACCTCTGCAGCAATGCTGGCAACACTCATACGTCTATTTCCCAAAGCAAACCTCTGGATATGATGCTGAGCACGTGCACTCAACTTCTTTGGTCGACCATGGCGAGGCCTGTTCTGAGTGGAACCTGTCCTGTTAAACTGCTGTATGGTCTTGGTCACCGTGCTGCAGCTCAGTTTCAGGGTCTTGGCAATCTTCTTATAGCCTAAGGCATCTTTAAGTAGAGCAACAATTCTTTTTTTCAGATCCTCAGAGAGTTCTTTGCCATGAGGTGCCATGTTGAACTTCCAGTGACCAGTATGAGTGAGAGCAATAACACCAAATTTAACACACCTGCTCCCCATTCACACCTGAGACCTTGTAACACTAACAAGTCACATGACACTGGGGAGGGAAAATGGCTAATAATGTCCAATTTGGATAGTTTCACTTAGTGGTGTACTCACTTTTGTTGCCAGCGGTTTAGACATTAATGGCTGTATGTTGAGTTATTTTGAGGGGACAGCAAATTTACATTGTTATACAAGCTGTATACTCACTACTTTACATTGTAGCAAAGTGTCATTTTTTCAGGGTTTCAGGGTTTCAAGATGTAATAAAATATTTACAAAATGTGAGGGGTGTACTCAATTCTGTGATATACTGTACCTATAAGCAATCACAGAGATCAGAAACAGAAAATAAAATAAAAAACTGTAACAATAAGAAAAAGGACAGAAACATAAAGTAGAAGAAAAACAGCTTAGCAGTTGTAGTATGAACAATGAACAAGAAAAGCTCTCTAGGAGGATACGACAATGGTAGTCAAAAGAGTACTGAAGGAATAAGCAAGAACCTGTTAGGGACATGTACACTGGAACAATATGGATGGGTTCCTGCTAAACATTTCTAGGCTATACAAGTGGGGTTCCTGCAGGCACAGAGCTCATGTGTGCTGCAGAGAAACCACAAGGAAGACAATTATTTGACTCACAGACATCAGGATCTCAGGCCCAGATTAACTCTCAATCTTTAAAAAGTTGTGGTAAGATCCTGCCCAGTGATCACACATTCTTCCAGTACAGAAATTTATCATCTAGCTATATTTCTCTGTTATGCAATTCTAAATTTTCTTTCTGCAAATATCTTTTTCTAATGTCTGTCAACAATTTTTCCCCAAATGTGTGACTCCACATTTCATGAAATTTATCCTGTGAAGTTAGTTAGATTATCCTTCATAACCCCTGACATAAAGCTCCTACTTACAGCAGTCTACAGCCTGATCTGCAAGACTCAAGGTCTCTTGACAGTCTCTATAGAAGCAAAATACTTTCTATAGGAAAGTTGCCCAAACCAAGTTGTCCAGTTTGCAAATATCAAAGGAAGCAAGTTTAGTAAAGTCTAGCTTTATCTACTGTGAGAAAAGGGCCATGCCCAGAATCAATTTTAGATTTTCAATGTGTTTTAAGAAGCAGCTTTACAGGGGAAATGTGAATATATACAGAAAGAGGTTCTGCATTGTGCCCAAGTGAAAAAAAAAAGATGATCCAAAAATCATGGGCAGATTTAGACTTCATGGAGATACTACAAGCAATGGAAATTCTATTTGTACATTCCTTGGTATGTTGTTCCAACAAATCATGTGTTCACTACTCTTAAAGTAACATATCACTGATGATGTTGGATAAATAGAACATCTCCATGCATACTAATATCAAAAGCAGTTCACTGCTTGGTAGCTGAGTCCTAGAAAACATTTTTTCCTAAGCAAGATGGAGAAGCTCCAATATATTAAATAACAGAGAGAACACCTTTGGATTCAAACTAATTCTCACTGAGAGCCGGTGGTTAAGAGCATGGCAATGGGACTCAAGCGATTTGGGTTCTAGTCACTGCTCAGTCATGGAACCAACAGAGTTACTATGGGCCAGTCACATACTCTCAGTTCTAAGAGGGTTAGTGTTGTGGGGATAAGATTGAGAACAGGAGGAGGAGGAGGATGTAAGCCACTTCAAAGAAGAAAAAAGGCAGAATATACATCAGATACATAAGTAAATTTCGCATATTACT